GGGAGGCTTGCCCCCTCTCCCATCCGGTCGGGGTATTCTCCCATGCCGGGGGCTCTCTGGGACGCGCTCTTGACCCCCAACTGCGCTCGCCCCCACCTGTGAGTTCTGCCGTGAGTAACTTTCAGACGTAGAAACTCGTAAAATGCTCTTCGGAGGGGCGGCCCCTGCTCCTCCCCCCGCTCCCCCTCCTCCCCCTCTTCCTGCGCCTCCCCCCAGCCGAGACCTCTCCTTAGTGTCCTGCCTGGGCATGCCCCACTCTCTACTGTTATTCCACTCCCTACTATTATTCCACTCCCTACTCCGGTCTAGGTCCCGGCCGTCGCGCGGAATAGTGACGTCCCTAGAAGACCCAGACGCCTCTCTAGAACTAGTAGCCTCTCTAGAACTAGTAGCCTCCCTAGCATTAGTACCCTCTCTAAGGCCGGAGGTATTCCGAGAGTCAGCAGTGTCCCTGGTGGCGTTAGTAGCAGCCTCTCTGTTCCCTGGTGCCTCGCGAGTGCTCGTCCACTCGCGGCTGTTATTCCACTCCCTACTTTGATCCATCGCATCGCCACTCCCTCTCCTCTCCATGCCTCCTCTCCCCCCTGCTCCCCCTCCCCCTCCTCTGCCTCCTCTCTCCCCGCTTCCTCTCCTCTCCATCCCCCCTGGCCCTGCCCTGGCCATCCCTGCACTTCCTCCCCTAGCTGCCCCTACCCCACCTCCCCTCCCTCCTCCTCCACCTCCTCCTCTCCCTCCCCCTCTCCCCACACCTTCCCCCCTCGGGCTAGCAGCCTGCTCCCTTAGGCTCCTATCACTACCATTTCTCTCTAATCCTGGCCCTCCACTCACACTACCCACTCTCCCACTTCTCCCACTCCTCACACTCCCTCCCCCCACACTAGACCCCCCTCTACTGGAAGACGATAATTCACCCTCATCCTCCTCCTCCTCCTCTCCATCCACACTCCTTCCCACCCCTCTCCGCTCCTCCCCACTCCCCCCTCCATGGATCTTCGACCAGATCTGATCCAGGGACGGCCCCTTGTCGTTTTCTGCATGTGTTCCGGCCCTACTGTTGCTGCCGCTGCCCATGCTGCCGCCCACGCTGCCCTCCCTATGCTTGACGCTGCTACCGTAACGGTTACGGCTAGAGTTACTGTTACTGTTACTATAGCTGCTGCTCGCGTCATCATCCTCATCATCATTACTCGTCAGCCCATCCTGATTCGAACTATGCCCACGCCCATACCCATCTCGACTACCCTGCCCATGCCCATGCCTGTTTCCATGGCTACTCCCTCCCTCCCCAACGCTCTCTTCTTCCTCCTCCTCCTCATCATCCTCATCATCACTCTGCAATGGGGTGCCAGTTTCCCACATCCTCTTCTGGGACCCACTCCGAGACAGTCTCCTCTGCCTTCCCTCTCCCCCTCTTCCCTCTCCCTCTCCACCTTGTTCTCCTCCTCTCGATCTTCCTGCCACTCCCCTACCCTCACCCCCACCCCCTGCAGGCCCCCGTCCGGCCAACCCTGCAGGCCTCCCTTCCAACCTCCCCCCGTTGCCACTGTCCGACCCGCCCGCACCAGCAGGGGAAGCGCGGGCAGCAGCAGAAGAAGCACCAGCAGAAGCAGAAGCAGCAGGGCCAGCGGAATACGAGCCGCTGCCGGTTCGGCCTGCGAGCCAGCCCTGGGAGAAGCCCCCGTTGGGCCCCCCTCCCAGCACACCCTCCTCGTCCTCCTCATCGTCACTCTCCACCTGAAGAAACGGGGGGTGGGGGGGGGCAGTGGAGGGAAGATGTGTTGAGATAGTGCTGGGGACGGGAGACAGTGGGAAGGGCCAGCAGCATAAGAGCCGCTGCCAGTTCTGCCTGCGAGCCAGCCCTGGGAGAAGCCTCCGTTGGGACCCCCCCCCCCCAAACACACCCTCCTCGTCCTCCTCATCGTCACACTCCACCTGAGAGGGGGAGAGGAGAAAGGGGGGAGAAAGGAAAGCAGTGGAGGGGAAGGGAGATGAATCCTGAGGCGACTCAAAAGCCCCCTCCCAACACACCCTCCTCGTCCTCCTCATCGTCACTCTCCACCTGAGGAAGGGGAGGGATGGTGGAGTGGAGGGAGAGAGAAGGTAAAGAGAGGGCATGGGCATGGGCATGGGCATGGGCATGGGCATGGGCATGGGCAGGGGCAAGGAGATGGAGATGGGGCAAGGGCACGGGGACACCATGCTGTTGAAAAGCGACGGCATTGGGGGGGTTGTGTCGTCTCACCTGGAAGTTCATATAGGCGATGGACATGGACATGGAGCGGGAGCATGTGAGAGCATGCAGGTGAGATGAGTCTAGTTTTGAGTCGACTCAAAACTAGACATGGAGAGGGAGCATGTGAGAGAGCATGCAGGTGAGATGGCATGGATGTAGACCTGGGGGTTTGGAGTCTCACTCACCTGGAAGTTCATATAGGCGATGGACATGGACATGGAGCGCGAGCGAGCGCGCACAGACAGGGCCGAAGGAGGCTGCCTGGCTGGCAAACACTCGTCGCCCTGCCCGTGCAGCTTCCTGGAAGCTGCTGACGTTGCTGCTGGCAAGTCATCTAGGAACTTCCTTCCTTTCTCCCCTCCTCCTCCTCCTCCTCCTCCTCCTCTCCCACCCCCCTCTCCTCCTCTCTCTCCTCTTCTCATTCTACTTATTTCAGGCCCCACACCTGACTTCGCCCGAACCAGAGGAGACTTGGCTCGGTGCCGAGCCTCAGGCTCAGCCAAGCCTGCTCCGGGATCAAGAGGAATGGACCCAGCTGACCTGGGGGCGGCAGAGCTGCGAGAGCGAGGAAAGGCGGCGTGCGCATGAGGGGATGCTACAAACGCACGTCCACCAGCACTGCCACTGCCACTGCCACCACTGCCACTGCCACTGCCACCACTGCCACTGCCACTGCCACCACCAGCAGAACCAGAAGCAGCACCACCACCACCACCTCCTCCTCCTTGTCTTCCTCCCAGCTCTCCCCTTCCCCCACTCCCCCCACTCCCACCCTTGCCCCCACTAGCAGCACCGGCAGCACCAGCAGCGGTGAGTCCAGTGGGTGCGGCAGCCCCTCCGCGTGGTCTGTGACGGCCCCGGGAGGAGTCATCAGAGGCACAACCTTCAGACTCCGACCCTAGTACATCATTCCACGACCCGAATGATGGGTATGCTGCCAGGCTCTTTCCCACCCTCCCTCCCGCCGCTCCCCCTCGCCCCCCTCCCGACCCCGGTCTGGCTCCCCCTCCCCCTCCCCCTCCCCCTCCCGCTCCTGTGCCTGTCGTTGCTCCCCCCCCTCCTCCCGCACCTCCCCCACCTCCTCCTCCACCCCCCCCCCCCGTCCTCCTCCTCCTCCTGCTGCTCCTCGCATCCCTCCTGCACCTCCCATCCCTCCTGCTCTTCCCCCTTCTCCTCCCCCAACCATTTCGCCTCTCGACTCCCCCACAGCATCCCTCCCCTGCACCTTCCCCACACCCCTCCCCGGAACAAACTCAACCGTATCCTCTTCCCTCTCACTCTCCCCTCCTGCCCCCCTCCCATCCCGCCCCACCCCCTGCTGCCGCTGCTGCCTCTGCTGCTCCTGCTGCCGCTGCTGCTCCTGCTGCTGCAACAGCAGCTGCCTCTTTGTCTGCTGGTACCTCAGCTGTGGTGACGTGGGCTTTAACTCTCCCGTCGGGCTCTTCGCCTGCGTCAGACTCTCCCGAATCGCCTTCTCAATCTCCCGTGGCCGGATCGGCTTCGATAAATAATAGTCCATCCCAGCAGCCATGCAGCTATCCTTATCCTCGCTAAGAGCAGATGCAGTAAGCGCGACGATAAACGTCCGGTGCGGCCGCGGCGGCATGCGAGCGCGGCGGGGCTGGGAGGGGGAGCTAGCCTCGCTATCGCTAGCGTCGCTTTTATCGACCCAGCTGGCGGCACTGCCGTAAGGGGAGCCGTTGCCACAGGCGGCCATGGCTGCTGTGTACACGTGCAGCCTCTCCGCCTCCATCTCCCGGATCTTCCGCGTGGCTTCAAACCCATCCATCTCCGGCATGTGACAGTCCTGGTGGGATGATGGTGGGGAGGAGAGGGCAGGGTAGGGCACGAGAGGGGAGGAGAAGGAAGGGTAGGAGATGGGAGGGTAGGGGTGGGAAATGGGTTGGCACAGGCGGCCATGGCAGCTGTGTGTATACCTGTAGCCTCTCTGCTTCCATCTCCCGGATCTTCCGCGTGGCTTCAAACCCATCCATCTCCGGCATGTGACAGTCCTGGTTGGGGTTGATGGATGGGGGGAGAAGGAAGCGGAGGGGAGAGGGGGGGGGGGGGGGGGGGGGGGGCAGGTGTGAAAATAAAATAAAAATGGGTTTAGGGGCAGGGAGGGCGGGGGAGTGTGGCTCTGCTCGGCATGAGGGCAACTTGTTGCATGGCACGGCTTTTGAGATGTCTGAACAGGCTCAGCATCAGCGGCAGCAGCAACAGTGCTACTCACCATGGGGGCAACGCGACTCACCATGGGGGCAACGCGACTCACCATGAGCACGACATCATAGCAGCGCTCTGAGCACGCCCGCACGGCGAGCTTGCCATTCTCCACGACATCGTACTTGAGCCCCAGATTGTGCAGCATGCGCGTGGCCACCATCTGATTCACCTTGTTGTCCTGGTGGTTGAGGAAAAAGGGGAGGAGGGGGGAAGTGGGAGAGGGGAACGGGGGGAGCGAGCAAGCATCTTGTTCTTGAAATTTTTAGACAAGATGCTTGCTAGCAGCTTCCCATCCTGGGGTGATTTTTGAAGGTGCTTCCAAAGCAGTGAAGGTACGAAGGTTCTGCAGGTACGAAGGTTCTGCAGGTACGAAGGTTCTGCAGGTACTAAGGTTCTGCAGGTACTCCCACCACCCCTCACCTCCACAACGAGCACTCTAAGGTCCTGCAGGTGCTTCCACAGCGGCTCCAAATCACTCGTGAGTGACTGCTCCGCTGATGCTGCCACTAGCAGCCTCAACACCCTCTCACTTCCGCCACCATCAACCCCAACACAAACCACCCCTCACCTCGGCCACGAGCACTCTAAGGTCCTGCAGGTGCTTCCACAGCGGCTCCACATCGCTTGTGAGTGACTGCTCCGCTGATACTGCACCTGACTGGGCATCGCGCCTCACCACGCCCACCCGCACGTAGAAGAAGAAGGTGGACCCCACGCCCACCTGGGGAGATGCAGTGAGAGAGGCAGGGGGGGGAGTTTAGGAGAAGGGTAGGGTGAGGCGACTCACAGAGGCTTCCCATGCTCACTTCCCTTCAAAAAGGATTCCCCTGGCTCATACCTTGCACCCCTCCCCTCACCTGCCCGTGCATGCTTGTGACCCTCCCCTCTACTCGCCCCGCACCTGGCTGTGCAGGCTGATATCCCCTCCCATGAGATTGCAGAGGCTCTTGCAGATGGCCAGGCCCAGCCCGGTGCCACCGTAGCGGCGGCTGGTGGAGTTGTCGGCCTGCGAGAACGCCTTGAACAGCCGGCTGCGCGCACTCTCGTCCATGCCCACCCCCGTGTCCCGCACCTCAAATCGCACCATCACACTCTCATCCCCCTCGCTCTCACTCTCACTATCACTCCCTCCCTCACTCTCGCTCTCTCCCTCCTTCCCCTTGCTGCCGCCCTTGCTCTGGTTCCCGCTCCTGCCGCCGCCGCTACTGCCGCCGCCGCCAGCAGCGGCACCGGTGGTGGTAGTGCTACTGCTGCTGTCTGCAGGAAGCTTCGGGGTAGCTGCCTGCTCGACCTCTTTAATCTCTTCGTCTGTGGCCAGACGCAGATCCACTGTGATTCCGCCACTGGAGAGGAGGGGATGGGGAAAGGGGACGGAGGAATGGGCGGGAAATTGGGCGAAGAGGGTATAGATCAGGGAAAAAGGGGGAGAAGAGAGCCGATGAGTTAGAGGTTCAGCAGCATCCACTTGACTCTTCCTCCCTGATCTATACCTGCTCTCTCCCATCTCCTCAACACTATGGAAGTCGCTCTTGTTTCTTCTCAAGATTCTATCCTCATCTCTCCCATGTCCTCTGTTTGAGACTCAACTCCATTTGCGCACACAACTCACTTGTCGGTGAACTTGATGGAGTTGGAGATGAGGTTCAGCAGCACCTGCCTCAACCGCACTGGATCGCCCACCACCACGGACGGCACCTCTTCAGCAATCTCCAGCTCTAGATACAGCCCCTTGTCCTTCGCCACCACCTCTAGCAGGGCCAGTGCTTCCGTCACCTGCAGCACGGGAGTCAACAACATATGGGATGGGAATGTGATAGGGAGGGGAGTAACATTCAGTGGAGGGAGAGGGGACACACAGGATCCCACCTCCTCCTCCCCCTTATCTTTCGCCACCACCTCTAGCAGCACTAGTGCCTCCGTCACCTGCAGCATGGGAGCGAACAAAAGATGGTGAACACAGGAAGACAGTCAGCGGGACGGAAGCATTGCCAGAAGCACCACTACAGGAAGGCACATGTGATGTGACTGACTGTTGCGCTCAACTGCTGCTGAACACTTAAAGCCCACCTGCTGCTGAACACTTAAAGCCCACCTGCTGCTGAACACTTAAAGCCCACCTGCTGCTGAACACTTAAAGCCCACCTGCTGCTGAACACTTAAAGCCCACCTGCTGCTGAACACTTCAAGCCCACCTGCTGCTGGATGTTGAACTCGATGTGCTCCAGCGCCAGGTTCTTGGATTCGATCTTGGAAAGATCCAGCACGTCCGATATGATTCTCAGGAGATTGTCCCCCGACGAGCGGATGATCTCCAGGTACGAGCGCTGCTCTGCTGTGAGGTCGGTTCCTAGTAGTAGCTCTGCCACGCCGATGACACCTGCATATATAAGGAGACAGGAAGACAAGGTGAGGAGTAGTAGGAGAGGGAAAATTATCTCCAGGTACAAGTGCTGCTCCGCTGTGAGGCCCAAGTAGCAGCTCCGCCACTCCAATGACACCTGTAAGAATGAGCGGAGTGGAGAGAAGAGGAGCAGCAGGGTAGGTGGAGCACGTTCAATATGATTCTCAGGAGGTTGTCCCCCGACGAGCGGATAATCTCGAGGTACGAGCGGCTGTGAGGTCCGTTCCTAGACGCAGCTCCGCCACTCCAATGACACCTGTAGTCATAAGAGGGACACGAGGAGCAGCAGGAGAGGAGGGATGAATCTCGAGGTATGAGCGCTGCTCCGATGTGAGGTCCGTTCTTAGGAGCAGCTCTGCCACTCCTAACCCGACGACCGGATGATCTCCAGGTAAAAGCACTGCTCCGCTGAGAGGTGCGTGCGTGCCACTAGCCAGGTAGTAACCCACCACTCCTATTGTCTGGCTGGCTGGCCTTCTCTGCCTGTTCGACGCACACCTCACTGTTCACCACTCACCATTGATGGGACTACTCATGCGCACCCACATCGCTCACGCACCATTCATGGGAGTGCGAATCTCATGGCTCATGTTGGCGAGGAACTGGCTCTTGGCCTGGCTGGCCTTCTCAGCCGCGTCCTTGGCGGCCCGCAGCTCCTCCGCCTGCTGCTTGATCTCCGCCACCTCGTGCCACACCACCAGGTACATGGGGTGCTGCTGCTGCACCTCCAGAAAGGTCAGCGTCACCTCTATGGGGACTAGAGAGCCGTCAAAGCGCTGATACACCCACTCGAACCTGGGGGAGGAGAGGGGAGGGAAGGGGGCGGGTGCACGTCAAGCACCACCAGGTACATGGGGTGCTGCTGCTGCACCTCCAGGAAGGTCAATGTGACTTCTATGGGGACTAGAGAGCCATCAAACCGCTGGTAGACCCATTCGAATCTGAGGGAGGAGAGAGAGGGACGGGAGGGATGGGAGGGATGAAGAGCGCGGGATGCTAACACCAGCACATGCACCCATCCCCTTTCGCCTTACACTCACTTGTGCATGCCCTGCTGCTCTGCCCGGCGGTCCATGGCTTTAGCCTTCTCCTTGGACAGCTGCCCGTCCGGCTGCTTCAGCGGCGAGAAGAGCGCGGGGTGGTGGCCCAGCAGGCTGGCCTTGTCGGGGCAGCGCAGGCAGCGCACTGCTGCTTCGTTGCACTCCGTGATGCCCGTCTCGTCAAACACCAGGTAGCCGTCCTGCAGGGGGGTCAGACGAAGGGAGAGTGAGCATGTGCTTCAGCGGCGAGAAGAGCGCGGGGTGGTGGCCCAGCCCTCGGCCACACAGCCATCCTCGGCCACACACACACACAGCCACAAGGGAAGGTAGACGCACCGAGAAGAAGTGAAAGAGCAGGCGGAGGGACGCACCGAGGAGAAGTCAAAGAGCAGGCGAAACTTCTCCTGCACGATCAGCCGGTCCGTGATGTCACTCACCACCCACAGCTGCCCACCCCCTCCCCCCTCCTTTGCTCCCCCCGCTGCCCCCCCTGCTGCTCCGCCCGTTATATCACTGGAAGAGGAGAGATTGCTGCAGTCGCGTCCCACCACCTCCACCCACCGCTGCTCGCCGTCGCTCCGCACCACTCGCATGGTGCGCGGATGGGGGAAGCCCGCCTTGCGATCTGCATCCATCACCTTGCGCACCTGGGGAGAAGGGGACACAGAGGGGGAAGGGATGGGCCTCATTTCAAGAGACTCGTTTGAGGGACTTCAACATATAAGGCCTGGAAGAGAGAGATAAAACCAAGCCAGAAGAGTTGATATTTTCTCTCACCAACAGAGGGGAAACGGCCCACCTGGCCTCCCTCTCCCAGGTTCATCATCACTCCACACTGCGTCACACCTTGCCGGCCTCTCTCTCTCCCGGAACAATAGCAGTAACCGACCGCTCACTCACCCAGAGTCCTCACTCATTCTCTAAGCCAGATTCCACCCCCTCACAAACTCACTCTCACACCACCCTGATCCTCACCTCCGCCTCTCTCCCCTCACCTCCGCCTCTCTCTCCTCACCTCCGCCTCTCTCCCCTCACCTCCGCCTCTCTCTCCTCACCTCCGCCTCTCTCCCCTCACCTCGGCCTCTCTCTCCTCACCTCCGCCTCTCTCTCCTCACCTTGGCCTCTCTCTCCTCACCTCGGCCTCTCTCTCCTCACCTCCGCCTCTCTCTCCTCACCTCGGCCTCTCTCTCCTCACCTCCGCCTCTCTCTCCTCACCTCGGCCTCTCTCTCCTCACCTCCGCCTCTCTCTCCTCACCTCGGCCTCTCTCCCCTCACCTCGGCCTCTCTCCCCTCACCTCGGCGTCTCTCTCCTCACCTCGGCCTCTCTCCCCTCACCTCGGCGTCTCTCTCCTCACCTCGGCCTCTCGCTCCCGGAAGAGCAGCGAGAACCAGTCATCCACACTCCCCAGCTGCTCCCGCGAGTACCCCACAATCGCCTCCACGTGCGCATTCACCAGCATCTCCCCGCCCCTTTCCCCCGCTCCCCCTGCCCCCCCTGCTCCCCCTGCTCCCCCCGGCTGTGGCAGCACATGCACCACCCCCGCTGGCAGATGCTCGAGAATGAAGCGGTGGCGATCCGAGGAGGGCGGCTGATGGGGAGAGAAACATGGGGAGGGGAAGTGGGGGAGGGAGGAACGGGGGGGGAGCAGGAATTGTTCGAGGTGCCTCGAGAAACCCCCTTCTTTCCTACTGCTCTGGAAGCACGAGCACCACCCCTGCTGGCAGATGCGCGAGAATGAATGAAGCGGTGGTGATCCGAGGATGGCGGCTGGTAGACAGGGGAGAGTCACGAGAACAGAAGGGTCCGGTGGAAGCAAGGGGGCATAAGGAGAAGCTGGCAGCTGGCAGCTGGAAGGCAGAGCCTCTGCCGCAGAGGACATTTTGGTGTAAGAACACAGACATAGATGTGAGGTGGGCACCCACCTAAAATGATGTTACTTTTGAGAATTCTCAGGAGTAACATCAACACAGCGGAACTTGTCACAGGCGGACATAGCATAGATGTAAATCAACAGTGGCCACTGTGGGCTGACCATGGTGCAAATCAACAGTGGCCACTGTGGGCTGACCATGGTGCAAATCAACAGTGACAGATCAATGAGAACGCACCTTGGCAGTGGTACCAGCTGGCAGGTCACAGATCACAGCCATAATCATGGACACATGGGGCCCTCCACTACCAGCAATAGCAGCACTGCAGCAGTACCAACCAACACCAGCGATTCACGCACCTTAGCTGTGGTACCAGCTGGCAGGTCACAATCACAGCCATAATCATCGACACATGGGGCCCTCCACTACCAGCAATAGCAGCAGTACCAACACCAGCGATTCACGCACCTTGGCAGTGGTACCAGCTGGCAGGTCACAGATCACAGCCATAATCATCGACACATGGCCCTCAGTTCCGGCACCAGCAGCACCAGCACCAGCACCAGCACCAGCAGCAGCACCACCCGCTCCCCCTGCCCCTCCGCCATCACTGGAAGCAGGAGGGGCGGCATCGACCGTGATCCGCACAGGACGCAGCTTGCCGCCCGGCAGCACCAGCCGCAGGTCGTGCTGGCGCTGCCGCTGCCACGCTGGCGCTGACATGGACGCGCCACGTAGGACGGCGTCAGAGACTGTTGAGAACCACGCCTGGAAGGCTGCCACGTCATCCCGCGCAATAAAATCTTCCAGCACGCGCCCTTCCACGGCGCGGGCCGGGCGGCCCAGCATGGCCGCCAGGCTGGCACTGCAGTGCGCCAGCTCAGCGCTGCTCACTCGCAGCGCTGCCAGGGAGACAGCGGCTGAGTCGAGGAGGGATCTGAGTGGGGTGGGGTGGTGGGATGGGGTGGTGCGTGGGTGAGGTGGGATGGGGTGGTGCGTGGGTGAGGTGGGGTGGGGTAGTGCGTGGGGTGAGGTAGTGCGTGGGGTGAGGTGGGGTGTGGTGGTGTGGTTTGGGGTGGGCTGGGATGGGGTGGGGAGGAGTGGGCATGAATTGGGGAATAACATACGAATCGACGATTGGGGGAGCATACGGAATTGAATACGGCAACCTGAGAGGGGTGTCTGAAAGCCTGTTGATGTCAATAGCATCCTGCGCCCAGTGCTACTGGGACAGGAGAGATGGCCGTTCAAGTGAACTCACTCATAAGTGGGGGAGTATGCAGGCGAACCTACCTGAGAGGGGACTCCGGCAGCCAGTGAATGTCTATAGCATCCTGCACCCAGTGCTGGGGGAAATGACCCTCTGGGGGAGGGGAGGTGTAGTGGCAGGGGGGGGAGGAGGAGAGGGGAAGAAATGAAGCATGTTTTGAGTCGACTCTAAACAGTGAATGTCAATAGCATCCTGCACCCAGTGCTGGGGAAAATGACCCTCTGGAGGGGGGAGAGAGAGGGAGGTACAGTGGAAGAGGAGGGCGGGGGAGGGGGGTTGGGGATCATACGAAAGGGGCAGGAATGAGAGAGTGGAGGGGGAGAGGTGTGCCAGTGAGGCTTTGTATATGCCAGCCTTGTCAATGTTTTGCTATTCAACCCTCGCTGACTCACCTGCCCCAACCGCTTCTCACCGCACCTAATTCGTGTCCCTTTCCCCCCGCTTCCTCACCCCCATAGTTCCTTCCCTTGTGTGGCAAGCCCATTTCTCCTCCTCGACCAAATCTGCGTTCCCCCTTCACCTGGCGTTTCCCCTGCATTCCCCCGTCAGCATTCCCCCCACTCGTGTTCTCCCCATCTCCGTTCCCCCTCCCCATGCAGTCCCCCCATCTCCTGCATCCCCCTGTCAGCGTACGATTTCCCCTGCGTTCCCCCAGTCTCCTGCGTTCCCCCTAACTACATTCCCCATATCCCCTGCTTTCACCCAGTCTCCTGCGTTCCCCCTAACTACATTCCCCATATCCCCTGCGTTCCCCCAGTCTCCTGCGTTCCCCCTACTTGCATTCCCCGTGTCCCCTGCGTCGTCTCCAGCGTTCCCCCCTTCCTCTGCTCACCTGAACCAAACCGCGATTTGCGGTCCTTCTTCCGCCCCAGCGTGTCACATCTACCTGCGGAACCCTGCATCCGCGCATCTTCCCCTCCTCCCACGCCTCCCCCTCCCCTCTCCGCGCCCATTCCCCTCCCAGCCCCACTCCCCATCCCCAACCAGCCAATATCCCCTTCTTCTACACTCATCATCCTCCCCCCAGGCCCCCCGCCCCTCGCTTTCCGCCCTCGCCCCATCTCCTCTCCGCGGAGCATTCCCCCCACTGCTCCCCCCACCGTTCCGCCAATCGCCCCCGCGCCCGCGCTCCTCCCAAACGCGTCGCCTTTCGCCAAGAGCATATTCTTACTATCCATGGAGCTAACGTCCATGCTCTGCCACCTATTAAGCCGCGACTCGGGTCTCCGCGGCTCGGGAGACCTAGACGGCGACCTCTGATGCATTGGCGACCGGTTAGGCGATTCCTGTTGGCTAGCCGTGTCCTGCTGACGGCTAGCCGGCTGCGAGAAAACGGCAGTCTGGGACCGGTTGAATGGGTCTGACGGTATGGGCATGTGAACCTTTCCCCCGATGCTTAACCCGCGGTGGAGCGGCTTGGGCTGAGGGGAGGCGGAAGCGGGTGAAGCTTCATGAGCTGCGGAACCGTGAGTGCTGTGAAACGCGCCGTGAACCGCGCTTGCTAGCGGACTGTCGAACCCGCTAACGCCTCCTCTCGCTTCTGCTGTCGTCATCCCCCCTCTTCCGCCAAGCCCGCGCCCTCCTCGCCAGGCGCCGCTGGTGACTCAGCCGGCGGCGGCGGCGGAGATTGCGGCTGCTCATGCGCTGTGGCGACGAGCTCCCTCTCCCCGCCGATGCCGAAAAACTGCAAATCAATGGACACCGCAATGCTCGATGCGCCTTGTCCCTGCCCCTGCCCCTGCGCGTGTCCCTGTGCCCCTCCCGCTGCCCAGTCTCGTCCCCCGGCCCTCCCCCTGTCGCTCCTGCGTCTGACTGACCCGTCATCGGCGGAAGCCAAATCAGACTCCTCCCCCTCCTCCTCCTCATTATCCTCCCCCTCATCTCCCTCCTCCCCCTCCTCTTCGTCCTCCATCAATTCTCCAGCTCCCGCGTCGCCAACATCCGAAACTGAAGAGACGGTTCGGATTGACCGAACGTCCTCTGACGTGCTAGATACTATCCCCGATATAGACCCCGAGCAGGCTCCGGGTCGAGATAAGCTATTTTCCCCCCAGGTTCCCCGTCTGAGGAGGTTCGCCGCCGCCCATTCCGAGCCTCCGCTGCTGCTTCGGCTGACATCTCCATGCCGAGCCTGCGCGTTCGGGACCCTCGGTCCGGGACGGCCGTGAATCACGGCGTTATCCCCGGCCCCTCTAATTTCTTCCCCGTCCGTCTCTGACTCTTCTTCTCCCGCTCCGCCGGCCTTCGCTGGCAGAACTAACGAGAATCGCGCGGCCTTTTCTTCCCCCGTAGCCAAAGGCGCGACCAGCTGGAGCCAGTCAGCCAATGGGAGGCCGTCTACAAGATTGCAAAGCGATAAGGCTTCCAGCTCAGCATTGTTGTATCCAAGGGCTCTCCGCGCGCCTTCGCTGGCGCAGCAGATCCTGGCCGTCCACGGGTCGAGAACGAACTGGAGGAACTGAGCCTGCTGTACAAACCCTAAAACGGTCTGGCTCCTTCCGCCACCGCCGAACGTCCCTTGGGGGTTGTTTCCGCCTGAAACTCCGCTCCTCCTTCGTCTCCTGCTGTTGGAAACGTGTCCGGGTCTCCCGTTTCTGGAGAACCCGGAGCTCTGATAGGCTACTGAAACCGTCATTGGCGGTTACCGGTAGCGGTTAGGGTTAACATTCATTGATACTTAAATACTACAGAGAATTATTACAAACGCTAAGATCCGAACACTTCGCACGCTGCTCTCCTGTGGATTGACAATGAGTTAGCGGCCATGCTCTGGTTGACGCTTGGTTAGTTGACAGAGCTTGATGGTGATACTAGAGTTAATGACGTGACGCCTGCGAGCGATGGAACTGTAATTAAACAGTAAGTCGTTGCTACGATTTAGGTCAACTTATGCGAAGTACGTTCTATAAACAGTAACCCCTCCTGTCCGTGCCTACCCTACTCTTCTGACAGAACTGCTACGACAAATGCTCCACCATAGCCGCTAGTCCTTAGCTCATTCTGAGCATACAACAATTCCTTCACGCAGGCAAACGCAGCGAGGTGGTCGTGGAAGGTGGAACAATTGGGTAAATCACCTTCTTTCACTCTTTGTTTTCTGACTACTAGATGATTGCGAATCGCAATTACGAGGTATGTGCAAAGTAAGTGGATAACGGCTTTTGTTTATGTAAAAAGTAGGTGAATAACGGCTTTTGTTTTAACAGTATGCACTGAAAACGGATCAGATTGTTCCACGCTTAGCACTTGTTCTGGCTTTAAAAACTTCTGTCTAAACTCCTCCGATCGCTTTCGTTTGCTCTGCCCTGCAAAGACTTGCACTTGATTTTCACTAGCCACAGGTATGCCAATCCAGAGTTTATCGCGCTTCGTTCGGAAGAAGACCTAGGTGGGGGAGAATGTTTGTCCGTCCCACTCCCACAGCGCCAACTGCCCCCACCAGGCCCCAGGAAGTCAGGGTATTTTACCCTGATTAGCCTGTTTTTCAGAGTGAATTTTGAAGGTCACTCTGCTGAAATTGACTTCGACGCTTGTACCGCCCTGACACGCCTTGACATGAGTAAAACCGTACCCTTCAATTCCAGGTGAGAGCATCCTGTCAGCCCTGCCTTTTCCGAGTCTAAGTCATTTTTACCCTGCTAAGGAGTCCTTGAGAGTCGAACTCTCGTGCTCTCCAATTTCAGCTAAGTCAGAGAATTAAGCTAAGACACTGAAACTCTGGAAATGCTGCCAAGTCTT